CTGGACAACAATAACAATGTCTAAAAATGTTTAAGTTAGACAGGTCTGTCTGGGCAACTATTGGGAGAGTTCGTTTTTCTCCGAAACTATCGATAATATCGTCTAACAATGTCTAAGTTAGACATCTCTGCCAGAATTTCATTAGATTTTATTAGACGATAATTATCCGATAATGATTTATATGACATTGTCGCGCCTTCATGCACTGCACGCCCGGAACTACACGTTCAAGTATCCAAAATACCAATACAAAACATGATTAGTATCAGCAATAATTTATAGTACTGCCTGTATAATTGCGTATTATTAGTTTACATCAGACATATCCCTATACAGGATTTTTTAACAATGTCTCAAATTTCCGAAAGAATATTTAAATAAGTTGGGATGAATATGAATTGAATTTCCATCTGTTAAAAATCAGCTAAACAGTTCACCACCACGATTATAGTGAATTGGCGAGTTATCAACGAAGACGACCGGACGTCTCCGATCATGAGCTGGCTGGTTCGAATTTATCCACTTTTACAGTGATGAATATTGCGTTCGAGTTGAGTTACTTGTAATTACAAGCTTGATTTACATTTTTCTTGTGGTGTTTTTTGTCAATGTATTAAATATGAGTGCGTTGGGAAATAGCATAATTATATTGCGTCAGTGAATAAGGCTGGTGAGACTGTGTCACAAGGCGTTCTATTTATTACCAACGCGCGTGGTTGGCGCCTCTGATTGCGTTTATTTTTTATTTTTATTTTCAAAATGTATCACTGGCTGCGTTTTTTTTTTGTTACGTCTCGCAACTGAACGTCCAAGCTGACTTTGTTTTGGCTGTAATTAGGTCACTGGACGCGTATATGCGTACACACGGGCGTATTTTTATTTCACGTTCGAGATCGCCCGAAATGACGCTGTTTGGAAACGTTCCAATATCATTCTATAAACCCCTCGTTTCAGTTTTGAACTGGGTCCCTCTGCGCATGGTAGAAATATTTATAAAAATAAAGAGAATGGAATCGGGTCGCCAATACAAATTAGTATATCGTTCACCAGTATATATTATATCCATCTTTGGCTTTACCGATTTCACAAATTCATGTTTTTGAATTATTTCATATGCAAGAACTCGAGAGGACGGCTTTGTTGGAAAAAATAGCCGTCGGACCACAGTCCTTAAACAACTGTGGTCGGACCAAAGAAGGGACCTTTGCTATTTAGCGTCAGTAGTTTTACGACATACTAACAAGACCTCCGTGTATTTATAGCTATGCGTTCTAGTTCTCGGCGATATTTGGATCGATTTTATTGAAACATCGCGATATGTAATGGCAATAGCTTCCTAAAATCCTTGTTTTATGTAGTTATGCGTTCTCGCTCGAAATAAAACTTATAGCGTATAAATATCTAAATACGTGTTTATCAGATTTGGCTAGTTTATTCACTGGTAACCGTGGTTTACTCCCGGGGGGGGGGCTACTTCCACATTAAGTGGGTAAGGGTGTGAAACCCACCTCTCGTGAACCATACTGACTTCTAAACCATTTTTCTATTTATATACCCACTTCTAAACACAAGTGTTTTCAGTGAAAAAAAAACACCCAGCTCACAACTTTCGCAACCAGTGAGCGCATCCAGGCGATGCATTTTGTTCAGCCTTTTCGGGTATTTGGCTTTTACTATAAGAACCTGTGATAAAGTAAATAAATGCTACCATGGAGGTAATTTACCTCCATGATGCTACTAACACACTTTTAAACCAAAACATTGATAAATGACCACCCACTTCTAAACAAAATAACGTGAAATGACACCCTAGTCGGGCGGCACATACCCGTACTGCACTTCTATGCACCTATCAACGAATTCTGGGTATGTGCCTATTTAGCACAGTTCAAATGGACAGAACAGAAAAAAAGCGGACAGACATAATATGTAATGATCGAGAAGAAGCTTTCGAATTCATCCCGACTTTATAAATAAAAACGATAAAACAAAATTTACTTTGACAATGAACACAAAATGACATAATAACTGAAAAAGCCAAATATATTAAATGTAACTTTCCCACAGCAACATCAAACCAGTGTATAAATTGTATTTTTTGTTTAATCTAGTATATTCTGTCGATTTGTATTTTCACTTTTATTAATTCTATTGTTATGTAACTTCAGCAACCTTACTGCTGATCTTTCAAATAAATAACTTTACCCCCCCTAGTTTACTAGTATTTTACTCGTATCTGCCGGATTACTATTTGCATAATCTCAAATATGGGGAACGCTAATTGGCTGATTGTCATTTTTTTTAGAACAAGCGACCCACATAAGATTGACCGCTTCGCCTTTCATTCAGAATTCGGTGGTTGCTTTCACGCAGTACATGTTATAACCGTGCGCTTAAAATTCATAATCTTACGTTCCGTCTTTCTACATATCACGCTGCTGCTGTTTTATTTTCTCGTTTTGAAATAGTATTACTCAAAGTAAACAGGTAAGTTCATTACTTATTTTGGAAGTTCATTTAGTTCTTGCTCGCTGCTACTTCAAATTCAAATCGTCAGTTCATTGTTTGCTGTTAACATGTTTTCTATCCAACAGTATGGTCAGGGAATGGTATTTGGCTAGAGGTGATCGCAATTATATAGACCTATATATCGATGGCCGTCACCACAATGATATTTTGCAAGAATACAACAAACATAGTACGGGCGTTTCAAAAATCATGGCATCGGCCATACAGGAAAACTGTGTTGAGGTAAGGTACATTACCTGCTTGTTAGTAAAAACTTTATTAACCAGTATTTGGCATTAGCGGTCAGCTTTATGCTGATTTTCATGAAGTAGAAATGTGCATCAAATTTACATCTAATTGTTGCATGGAATATAGTGCTGTCCAAAACCGGTCCTGGCAATCGTCGCTCACGCGAGCCGTGTGTAAGCGCGTGCATGTGTGCCGAGCACTCAACCTCGTTCTACTACAAAATTATCTTGTACATCGTACTGACGTGTTTTGTACATTTTGTTTGCAAAATCAATTCATAAACTAATTATCACGGAGTTAGTGTGGTTTTTTTTGAATGCTTTTTGAGGCGTGGGTTAGTATTTACACATCTACCCCACTTGTAATTACCATTCCTTTTGGACGAGTTAATTATAAGATGGCACCGCGAGGAATATATGAACATAGTAACTTTCATCGCTCGTTAGTTGTAATTCACACACCGTGTGCATTTTTTTTCTAAGCTGTATGGATGGCTAGTTGATTATGTGTAAAACATCGGGATCAACACACGTTCAGGTCCGGGATGTCGTTGATTTATGTAACCATGGCCTATATACGACGCGTCGTTTCGGGGAGCGCCGACTCGGAAATAAGCTCAGGTAGCGAGAATGACATTGCGTTTCGGCGTTTATTTGTGTAGACACTCCCCATCACTCTCTCCTTGGATTTAACACTCATTCATTGTTTCATTCAATGTTTCTGATCCCTGTCTATGTATGTAATCATGGCTTATCAATTCACTTTCTGTTTAGATACACAAAATGCAACTGTGTCTGTGAAAATGTATTAGCAGTGGCGTTTCAAAAGATCTAGATCTATTTACTGTTTACTTTTTTTATTTAACTTTGTCAGCAATTTTCAAGCCAGCAATCAGTGTATTAGCCCTGCGTACAGCGCTGTGTACAAGGACGCGATCGGTTGATAGATACCGACACCACATGCGCTGTGGGAGATATCTATCAATGGAACGCGTCCCTGTACGCACAGCACTGTACACACTGTGCAGCACTGCATAACCCCCTACAATACTATGCTTGTACATTATACACTCATCAGTGTTTGCATGTACAGTATATATTCCAAAGCATATAATAGTGGGGAAATATTTAATTTTCTGACTATAAAAACAAAGTTTTATCCCATGATCCACCCTGTAATAAATACACCTTGTAAAATGGGTAAAAAAATAATGCTAAAAAAACCATTAGAAGTGAATTACATGATTGAACAATTTGTAAATATGCACTAGTTGAATATGAAGAAATAGACTACAAAAGTGGATTTGTTTATTTGATCTTGATGAAGCAAGTGTGAAGCTTGTAATTAATCAAATGCTTTAATTTTACTAAACATGCTTAGCACATATTATTTTTTGCTCTGGAAGATGCTAGTAAGCAGATTTGAGTTATGAAGTGACTGACTATTATTACAATTTGTTGAAGTACCAGTACATATTTTTATGCCACACAGGTACAACTGCAAAATATTGATAACGAGGATGGATTCAATTTGAACTGCAATGACTTTGTTACTGATAAGAGCGATTTTGCAAAATCTTTTGAGGGAGCCAATACCCCGATCATATTTCTTGAAAGATGGTATGAATTTCGAATGTATGGCATCAATGAGTCGGTGAGTATTTTTTGGGTAATACCATGACAATGATTTTACACCTACCCCTTTCAATTGGTATAATAAATTTTTTTTGGAGATTTCTTACGCAATTTTCCTTCAGGAATTTTACCCCAAAACAAATAAACTAATTTCGCTTCTCTGAAAAAAAAATCCATAAATTGTTTTAGATTGAAACGATTTCTTGTGTTGTTTCTAGGATGGGAGTGATGAAACCAGTGGTAACATGACGTCTGTGTTCACTGTGTCTGATGATACAGATGATGATGAAACTGTTATGACTGGTTCACATGGTGAAACGGAAGAAAGTATTGTTTTTAGACACACTACCGACAGTAATAATGAAATTCATACTCCGGTCACTACAAGTACCCCTAACAAAAGCTTCCAGAATTCATTTTATGAAGATTTTGAAAAAAAAATAGAGGAAAAAAAGTTAGGTAAGTGTTATACTTTTAAAGACAATGTCAAGTCACCAGTCATTAATTCTTTTTTTGTAGTATTTGTGTGTGTACAGTTTTCTTATTACTTGAAGAAAATTAGTCAGAATTTTTATCAAAAAAGCAGTTTTACGGTGAATTTGAATATGATTTTGTAACTCAACCTGTCACTTAAATATGCGTTTTAAAAAAAAACTGCTCTGTTTTTTTGCACTCAGAAAAATGAAATACTGTCAAATACTTTATTTAACTAAAATAATGATTCATTGAAAAAAAAATCCAAAATCCAGTGAAAATTATCCTAATTTTCACGTTATCGCAAAAACAAAACACCCAAAAAAATCTTTTCTACGAAAATTAATTCCAGCTAAAATAAAGTATTTTACAGTAACCACAGCTTAGAATATAAAATCTTCCTCAAGCAGTATCAATGTCAAAAGAAGTTGGTGGGATGAAAAGCTAGTCTATACAAAAAAGAAAGTTAGCTCAAGACAAAATGTGGTGTGGAAGTTCATACTGTTCTATTTTAGTGTCCTTTGCAAACTTTTCGTTCTCAGTGAAATAAATGTCAGACACAGATGCTGTTCAGCGGCTGTAAACAGTTGTATGAACAAAACTTAAAATGAGTGATATTCAAGTTCTCTATTCTCTATTTTTATAAGTAAATTTCAAGATCATATTTTAAAGCGAGATAATACCGAGTAATGAGCAAAAGTCTCCTACCATTCCCAAATGAAACTTGTTTACAGTGTGATTTTTGCAACTATGTTGTATTATTTCTTTTCTTTATTGATCTATAATTTTGTGTGTCCATTTGTGCTGTGGTCAATAAATCAAATTTCTTATTTATTCAGGAGTGTTTGCTGTTCCAATTTCAAGCTTTGTGGAGCCAGAAAAAGAAAGGCTTGTTCGCCCTTTAAATGAAAAGTCTGTTAAGGCTTTTGAAAAGATCCTGACAGCCCAACCAGGATTAGTTTCCGAATATCAACAGCTAATCGGAAATATTCCGAAATCTGTTGTAAGTTTTTCAAACTTCACAGTGAACAGCCTTTCAAAATATAAAATTGAAGCCATTGATGGCAACCATAGCTTCCATGCACAATTGTCCACATTCAAGAAAACTGGCAATCCAAAATTAGCAACAAGAGAGGTAAGTTGAAATAATTTCAATATGACTGCATACATCAGGGATGACTAATAAAATTTATAGATATTATAGCAAGTGTCCAGAGAAAAAACTTCTGTCTTCATTGGTAATTTGAACATGTATGCAAGATATCAAAAGCAATTTTAATGTAAACATGGTCGTGGTCATGTCAATCATAGCTTAGTTATTGATTAATGTAAAGTTTAGTGATTAATGTAAAGATTA